TGGTCCCTATTTTTCTACTTGCATTTTTTTTCGTGATTTCCAACTGCTAGGTTGGCAGAAGCTGGGACAAGTAACAGAAGCTCACTCCGTTACATGGTGCTAGGGATCAAACCGCCGACCTTTCTGATCGACAAGCTCAGCGACTCAGCCACTGAGCCACCATGTCCCTTCTACTGTACAGTGCAGTATTAACGCAGCATGAGGGACTTTCAATTCAATTGCACCGAATGCGAAGGATGCATGTTTGTGTTTTATTTCTATCGTTTTCTTATGCATGATGTCCACGGAAGATGAGATTTAATTTCGTTGTACGAGGTGCAATGGCAATAAACTAAACCTCCGACATCCAAACCAAGAGGGGAAGCCCAATTCACCTAGCCACCCTGTTACTAACTTAACAACGTGCAGTGATTCACTTAACAACCGGGCAAGAAAGGCTGTAAAACGGGGGAAAAAACTCATGTCTTGCTTAGCAACATAAATTTTGGCCTCCATTGTGGTCGTAAGTGGAGGACCACCTGCATGGGCTCATGTTGCCATCCTGCAAAGGTCAGAAGCCACATAGCGACTGAAGCAGGGCAAAAGAGGATCTCCTGGTGGTCTCCTTTCCCTCTCCTTTTCCCAGAACTCCCCCCCACGCCCACCCCCGCTCACCCTTATGGCAGTGGGAGAGGAAGTAGGCGCGGGCGCGCAGGTTCTCCCGGTCGAAGCGGTCGATGGAGAGGTGGGGATACTCCCGCATCACCCCGCCGAAGCTGCTCATGCTGCCGCCGACGCCACCGGCTCCTCTTCCGCTTCACACTTCCGCCAGGCTCTTCCCGCCGCCCTCTCATTGGCTGAGGCGGCGCCCAATCACAAGGACGACTTCCCCGGACGCATGCGCATATAGGAACTCGGAGGGCGTGGCCCTACTCTCTCGCTGTCCCTTTGATCTTAGAGACAAGGAGGCCCCGCCCACAACGGAGAGCCACCTCCTCCGAGTTCCCATTTGCGCATGCGTTCCGGTGAGGCATCTCTGTGATTGCCACCGCCTCAGCCTATCACAGAAACGCGAACTGCTGGGTTCTAGTGCGTTGATTGTCCTGGCATTAAATTGACTATATTGTATTTACGCTGAAAAAAATAAAAGAAGGGGAAGGTTGCCACAACCTTAAGTGGAAAAGTACGAGAACAAAATTTCTCTACGGGGCTTCCCTAGCCTGAACCTCTCACTGATAATGAGAAACCAATAAAAATATTGCAGCGCGGACTGTTTTGGACTACGGTTCCCAGAATTCCATCATGTCTGTCACGCTCGCTCGAGCTTCTGGGAACTGCTGATTGGCCCAAACGGACGAAGAGCCCGCCTTCCGCTATATTGGTACTCGCCGGCAGCTCCGATTGGCTCGGAGCGCTAAACGTGTGTGGTTGCTAAGCAACAGCGTGACCACAGCGGGTGCGGGGCGTGTCGTCGGCGTGCGTGGAGGAGCGCACCTGAGGTAAGTCAGGGCTTGGCCGGGACGGCGGAGTGAGGCCGGCTTCCCTTCCCCGAAGGATAAACGCTGCAGGCCCAGTTCAGGGTAGAGGAGGCCGGTGATGGAGAGGAAATAGGGGAATAAGAAGCTCCTCTCATTTTCCCTTCCCTTATAAACATCGTTTTTGATTGGTCGTTACTAACTGGGCGGCGACTCCGTTCCCGGGACGAAGTATCGCGAGATTTGTGCCGTTGGGGCGGGAATAGGGCTGCGGCACGTGTTTGGGCCGTTGGTTCGCATTTTGGCGGGAAAAGGAGCGAAGCTTTTTGAGGGGCGTCTCGGGAGGGAGATTTGAGGCCCAGGATTATGAAAATTGATACGAAAAACATATATTTTACAAAAATATAAATAGTTTCCATAAACATCTGAAAGTATTTTTTTGAATTTTCAATCCGAAAAACGGCGACTTGAAGATTGGCATCTCTCTTGCCATTCAGGGTACCAAAAAGCAACTAGTAATTAAACCAATAATTACAAATGATAATGATTATATAATTAATAAATCCTCAATTTTCTTGTTCAATTAAAAATATATAAGCTTTCCTTCTCATAAATATCTGTTTTGGCTCCTCATCGATAAGAGAATTCTTTTATATGTGGTTTTTTTAACCGCATGTTTATGTCAGTGTTGTGAATTTGTTATTATTTGTCTTTAATTTTCAACCTCTTGGATTGCTACATTGAAATAAGAGAGTTCAAAATAAACACTGCGTTTTCCTACAACATTTTTCTCCTGTGCTAAGAAATGAGTAAACTTTTCGGATTATTTTTTTCTATTCCACCTTGTTCCCACGTTAATATTTTGACAAATAAACGTGACCTGCCTCCTCCAATTAGCTTAAGCGATGGCTTCAAATTGCAGATTTTGGTGATAAATAAAAAAATGCAGGGTACAGTATGCATTCTATGCACAACTGTTGTTGTAAGTCAACAACAATTGTATACAACAACAATTGCATGCATTTACTATTGTGGTTGTAAGTGGAAGGCAACCTACTCGACTTAACAACCACAATTGAGCCCAAAATTTATGTTGCTAAGTGAGACATTTGTAAAGTGAGTTTTGCCCCATTTTACGACCCTCCTTGCCACCGTTGTTAAGCGAATCCTTGCAGTTGTTAAGTTAGTAACCTGGTTGTTAAGTGAATCTGGCTTCCCCATTGACTTCCCTGGTCAGAAGGTCCCAAAAGGTTTCCACGTGATCTGGGGGACGCTGCAACCGTCATAAATACGGTATGCCAAGCGTTTAAATTTTGGTCACGTGACCCTGGGGATGCTGCAAATGTCGTGAGGGTGAAAAAGTTCAGTGACGTAACTTTGGTCACTAAATGAACTCTTGTAAGTCAACAACTACCTGTGTAGTTGTTGGTGGCGCAGTGGTTAGAGTGTAGTAATACTGCAGGCCACTTCAACTGACTGTTATCTGCCGTTCAGCGGTTCAAATCTCACCGGCTCAAGGTTGACTCAGCCTTCCATCCTTCCGAGGTGGGTGAAATGAGGACCCGGATTGTTGTTGGGGGCAATATGCTGACTCTGTAAACCGCTTAGAGAGGGCTGTAAAATCCCTGTGAAGCGGTATATAAGTCTAACTGCTATTGCTAACTGCTATTTAAACTAATGACAAAAACAACATATTGTAAAAACTGCAAAACCGTGAAGATTTTTAGGTCTTTTTTTAGGTCTTTTTATCGCGGCTTGGTGACCCAGTGGTTAGAACACAGTAGGACTGCCAGCGGTTATATGCTGACTAGCTCAAGGTTGACTCAGGCTTCTGTCCTTCTGAGGTCGGTAAAATGAGGACACAGATTGTTGGGGGGCAATAGGCTGACTCTGTAAACCCACTCAGAGAGGGGGGGGGTAAAGCAGTGTGAAGCGGTAGATAAGTCTTAAGTGCTGTTGCTATTTATGTTCCTGGTATCACGCTTGTTGTTTTTTGCAGAAGCGCCTATGGAAAGTTCAGCTTTGTTTATGGACAGTAAGAATATGGCCTGTGCCTCTTTCTCCTCTGGAGAAGCACATATGGCAGATAAGCCTGGTACGTCCTTCAGTAGAGGAGCAGATAGTCCCGAAGACACGTAAGTGGCAATCATGCAGGGTCTTCAGGGTGACATCCCGTTGGCGGAAGGTTTTCTTCATTTGGAGTAATTGTAATCTATCATGCCTCAAAGAGATTGGGGGAAAGGAAAAGGGGAGGGGAAGGAAAGTTCACTCCAGGATATCAAGCTGCAGTTAAATGGGCCTGCTAGGAACTAGAACCAAATATGGGAGGAGGCAAAACGGAGATCTACAGATGTATTTATTATTTCTTTGTTAAATTTCTTTGCTACCTATCTTGCAGTGAGAATAGGCAGCTCTGCTTCCTAAGAGCTTTTCTTCTGCCTTACTTTCTGTTTGGAAGCAAAGGGACAAATCAGGATTTATACTCTAAATATATGCAGATTAAGGCTGGAAAGAATAACCAAAGGAGAGGAAATCTGGGTCCAAAGTCATGATTATATTCCCTTTTTCAATAGTAGCTCTGTTTTTCAAAATTACAGCTGCTTTTTGTCAAAAACAATTGTTAAGTCTTTAGGGTGATATCAAAACGGTTCATAATACAGTTATGCCTTTAATTAATTATGTCCATACATTTAGTTACAATGTCTTTTCATAAAATTTTTGATGATGTTGTTTCTTCTACTTTTTTAATGCATATCATTGCAATTTTTAAAAAAATCAGCAAGTTAGCCAGAGATGTTTCCGGGGCAACAGCCAGTATTGATCGCAAGCCAAAATTCATGCAGCGGGCCAAAACATGGTCGGATGAAGTTGAAAATCTGTACAGATTTCAGCAAGCTGGCTATAGAGATGAAAATGAATATAAACAAGTAAAGCATGTTGATGTGGTAAGACTTGATAACTTTTAAGAATTGAGCATTTTAAAGAGGAAAGCTTCCTATTCCGTTCAATAATCTCCTTAGGTTTGTGGTACTTTTTCATCATTTCCTCCTGGCGTGATTTGTTGCTGTTGGTAGAAAAACCACCATCAGAGAATTTGTTAAGTGAGGGTTTCTCAAATAAATGACAAGTAACTAAATTGGTGCAACATGGCAAACCATGAAAGATGGATTATAAATACCGATGGCTGAATTTACCCATTTTGGAATCTTTGGGTGGAGAAATTTTGAAATACATCCTAAAGATTTATTGGTCATGTATTAATATTTTCTGAAGAGCTGCTATCATACATATATGTTTACGTGCCCTGCAATGTGTTTTCCATATTTAATTAACTTTTTAGTTTATATTTTGTAAATATGTGTTTGTGTGTATGCATAAATAAGCTGCCTTTGGTTTTTTGAAGAAACTATAAAGGGGTACAGAAATTGACTTAAAATAATAATCCAAATTCACAAATGCTGAACAATTCACATGTACACAGGATTGTAGTCCTCAGTCTGGTTATTGGAGCTAATAAGGTTGGGGTAGCTGGGAAACAAATGCTGTTTCATCCATATAAGTAGAACCCAATAAAATATAAATGTTAAAAATGCGATGTGCTTCCCTTTGCTCTCCCAGGTTATTTTGCTAACAATAATAGTAGCTGAATTTGTGTCTGATAAGCAAGAGAAAACTAGTGCAATATATATTAGGCATTATGTTACCTACATTTTCCTTTTTACTATCAATCACCAGAAGGGATAATGACCGTTTATTCAATTTACTTTTAGCTTGGAGGGATTTTGAGACGGCCAAGAAGGCAAAATCTGAATAAAAACCATTAAAACCACTGTCAGTGAATTCACATTGAAAGGAGCTGGTGAAATACAAAGATTTTGATCTGTCAACCAAAATCGGAAAATGGGCTAAACACATTTAAAAGCATGGGATTGGCACAAGACACTTTGTGTGCGATCAAAAATATTGTGTTGATTTTAATGTCCATTTGCATTCATATTGAATTAGATGACCCTGCAGCCATTTTATTTGCTTATGTCAAATTCTTTTCTGCTGGTTCAGTCATGTGTCTAGTTGGAATGCAAGCTATTTAGGGCATTAAACTTTTTATTGGGTCCAGAAAAAAATAATGTAAGTTACTTTCATGTATCTGACTATGTGAGAAACTATTTGTTTCCATTTGGGGCTACAAAGAGCTGAGCTGACTCTTATTCCTGGCTGTTTCTTTCTAGTTCCCGTCTTAACTCCATGGTTACTTCAGGGGCCTGGAGTGATAGCTTCAAAAGAGCCCTTCTCTGTTTATTCTTGACCC